GTGTTGAATATACCACGGACTGCTAGGAGAACAAACAGGTTTGTCCTAGAGAAGGTGAAGCCAGAATGCTCCTTGGAGTCAAGGATTCTGGGGCTTCGTCTGACATACTTTGGGCATGTTGCAAGGAGGGACTGGTCCTTGGAGAGGGACATCATATTTGGGAGAGTGGAGGGACGGCACAGGAGAGGAAGACCCTCAATGAGATGGATCGACTCTGTGACTGGAGCGGTGGGAATGAGTGCATTTGAGATGGCTAGGTTGGCACAGGATAGAACGGCGTTTAGAGCTCTTGTACAGAGGGTCACTGTGAGTCTCAGGGGACTCAATGGCACATAACAACAACAACAACAGTGCAGTTGAAGCCACCTATCTGTTGCTGTGAGTCCCAAATGAGTATGATCCACTGGCCTGGAGGCCAGGACCTTGGGATTCCTGAGCATCCTGTGTCTGCTGTGCATCCAGTGAGAACCACAGCCATATCTCCTCCCTAGTAAATCTGCTTCCAGAACCCCCTACTCTCCATCTTGCCAGCTCAAATCTCTCTCTAGGATTTATGCCTTGGTCTCATCCTATTTCTAGCTTCTAATCCAGAGCACCTGGAGACTTTTGAAGAGTGAACTCGTAGGTTTGCCTTTTTAAGTGTTTTGCTGGTGTGAAACACTGTTTCACCCCTTTTTTTCTCACTCTCCTTTTTGAAGGATGCATTTGCTAAGTAAAGAATCTTAGGTTGATTGTTAATTCTCTTTCAACTCCAGATACCCTAGTCCATTGTCTTTGTTTGTTCTTCATGTTGTGGTTGAGAAGGCAGCTCTCAAGTTAATTGTTGCTCTTTAAAAGGTGTCTTTATTTATCCCCCTCTTGTTGCTTTTAAGATTCTGTTTTTCATGTACCTTTCCTTATCTATCACACTCCTTCCTTTTTACATTTTTATTTATTTTATTGTGGTAAATATGTATTAGAAAAAATTTGCTATTTCAGCATTTATTTATATGTACAATTATCATACCCACCTTTTGAACTATTACCCCAGTTTTTCCATCACTCTTAACAGAAGGTGAGCATTCCCTAAGCAGTGAATCCTCCTTTCCCCTCCCTCCCAGCCAGGTGACCACTAACTAGATTTTTGTCTCTATACATTTGTTCTGTGTACTTCATGTAAGTGGGATCATACAATAGATGTCCTTTGTTATGAATGAATTTCATTTTACATATTTTCAGAGTTCACTCATGTCTCATTTAGGGGTTTTCCTTCATTTTTAATGTGCATAAGTATGGCCTTCTTTTAGTTGGTCCCCTTTGGTATGTAGGACTTTTAAAGCCTTGGACTTCCTTACTCTTTCTTCTGCTTGTCCCCACACTTCTGTGTCTTCCAGTCTTTTACTCTCTTTGTTTCTTTTTGAGTAGTTTGATCCAACCAACTTTGAGTTCACAAAATCGCTCTTGAATTCTTGGTAACCTGTTGCTAAGCTTATCTGTGGCATTTTTAAAATTTCATTTATGTTTTTAGTTCTGTGATTTTTTTTTTTTTAAGAATAATTTTAGAGAAAAAGGTCATTATCTGCCAAAATTCACTAATGTCCAAATAATGGAGTTCCATTGTACCTGTGTTCTTTTTTATTTCGATTTTTGGTGGTTGTTATTCATACCTTTTCTCTTTGTATACTTGAAGGTTTTTGTTTTGCTTTTAATTGTGTTGGAAATTCATACACTAAACCATTTGCTAAGGATCGGGTGGCGTTTTTCCCTGTTGTAAGTAGGGCTCTGTGAGTTGGAGCTGACTCTGTCGCCTAACAATAACATTTATAATCCTGTGACATTGATTACTTTGTGCATCTTGATTATTCTTGTACCAGATATTCATAAAATTGTTGGTAGTAGTTTTGGCCTGGGTGAGTCTCTTTAGTCTGACTTGAGGATTGGGGGCCAAGTTGCTGTCCCAAGGAGGCCCTTTCTTGTTTTACAGTCTTTGTGCTACCAACCCGGGCAAGTTTGGTTCAGCTCTGAGCTAAGATTCCTTGTCCTTCTGTGCCAGAGAGCCTCTCTCACCTCTCAGCTGCCCCTCTAGAATCTGCAAACATTCTCAGGGCAGCATTGGTGTGGCTCAGTATCTGGGTTCCTGCCCGTCATGGGGACCTCACTTGTAGGACTGTGAGCCTGGTAAACTTGTGGGTGCATCATCCAGGCTGAGTGGGCTGTGGGGACATTCAGGGAGGCTCTTGACCCTGACACCTGGGCACAGTGGGAGGAGCTCCCCTGGAGCAGGATCGCCTCTACTTACAAGGTGACCGTGGGGTGCACTGAGTAGCTCTCTGCTCTTTCTGCAGCCATGCTTCCTCAAGGACTGGGAGATGCACGTCCACTTCAAAGTCCACGGCGCAGGGAAGAAGAATCTGCATGGGGATGGCATTGCCTTGTGGTACACCCGTGATCGCCTTGTGCCAGGTAGGGCCATGCTGACATGGAACCTGCTGCCTGGGGCGCAGTGGTAGGTTGCACTTGGCTTCTGTGATCCAGGGTCTTTCACTTGTCGCTCTTTTGTTATAAGACACTGTCTTCTCTCAGATAAAAGCTGGGCTCTGAGTTTATTTCTGGTAGGAATGTACCCCCAGCAAGCTCTCCAGTGTCACAGCTGTGCAAATTGCTACAACTGGGTACTGGCCTTGAGCCACTGCCATTTGGCATTGAGTCAGTTCTGACTGATGGTGACCCCACTTGTGCTGGGCCCTGTATGGTTTTTAGTAGCTGGTTTTTCAGTAGTAGATCACCAGGTCTTCTGATCTGCCTCTAGGTGGATTCAAACTGCCATTCTTTCCGTGAGCAACTCTGTGCTGATCTTGTCTGCCACCCAAGCCTGTGCTCATGCTCTCAATTCTGTGTCCTGTAGTCCTTTGCCCATGGTGCGCCCTGCATCCCTGCATTGTGTGGTGCAGGAAGGAGATTGAGATAAATAAACTCGGGTTGCTCATGTCGTGGGAGCTTGACTGAGAGCAGACCAAAGGGCTCCTACTCCATACCCTCACTAAGATGTAAAAAACCATCTTACATAGTTTCCCCTACTTGTAAAATTCATTTAAAACAAAGGCAAAACCAAGGATGATGGTAGGATAGACCGTATGTGACTGTATGTAGTTCATAAAGCCCAAGATACTTCCTTTCTGATCTGTCACAGAAAGTTTGCTGGCGCCTGGTTTAGAGGCTGGGCCTTTCTTGAGGTGTTGGGGTCCTTCCTGGGTCCTGCCCACTTGGCATGGCTGGGATTGCCATGGTCCCCTGGTGCTCACCTCAGAGCTCGTGGCTTTAGTTTTGTGTCATCTTGATCTTGCCTTCAGGCCCCTCTTCCCTGCCTGGGTGAACGGTGGTGGGTTGACCTTCCCGCACCCCATCCCCACCCTGCTGATGTTACCCACTCAGAACCCCTTTGACCCAGTATGAGAGGATTTCATTACCATTCCAGGGCCTGTGTTTGGAAGCAAAGACAACTTCCATGGCTTAGCCATCTTCTTGGATACATATCCCAATGACGAGACCACTGAGGTAGGCTCTGCTGTTCCTGCAGAGGGCAGAGGAAGGTCTGGTAGCTGGGAGGGGCAGGAGACTGAGACTTTGCCCTGACCCTGGAGCCTCTGGGTATGGGTGCCCCAGCGTTGAGCCAGGCCGCCTGTGGAGTAACCAGTATCTTGGTCCCAGCGTGTGTTCCCGTACATCTCGGTGATGGTGAACAATGGCTCCCTGTCCTACGACCACAGCAAGGATGGGCGCTGGACAGAGCTGGCAGGCTGCACGGCCGACTTCCGGAACCGGGATCATGACACCTTCCTGGCTGTGCGCTACTCCCGGGGCCGCCTGACGGTGAGCAGGCCGCGGGGTGAGAGGGCTGTTGAGGTGCCAGGCTGGGCTGTGGTTTTGCTTGACTTGCCGGCTACTGCAGGTGATGACCGACCTGGAGGACAAGAACCAGTGGAAGAACTGCATCGACATCACTGGTGTGCGTCTGCCCACTGGCTACTACTTCGGGGCCTCTGCCGGCACCGGTGACCTGTCTGGTGAGTGGTGGGCTGGCACATTCATTTCGTCTTCATTTCTGGTCTGGCTGGAGTTTGCAGGTGTGCCTCATTTAGCCAGGGTTATTCTCGCTCATTGTTTAGGTGGTGAGGGCTCCAAGCCTTAGTCCTTGAGCAGTCCTTGGTAGTTTCTCCCTCTTTTGTCTTTAGGAAATGAAAAGCAAAACAAAACCCCAAACTCTAGTCCATTGGATCAGTCTGACTCTGGTGGCCTCATGTCCTGGGTAGGAGTGTTGGCCACTCTAGACTCCAGCAGCTGTGGCTTTCAGGAGTGGACCACCAGGCCTTTCTTCTGAGGCACCTTGGAGTGACTCAGATCCCCAGCCTTTCATTTAACAGCAGAACACATAACCATTTTCACCACCGGGAGCTGTGTTTTAGGAAATTGGAGGCTTTAAGTGTAATTGCTGGAAGATTCTGTCATCTCCATGCTCAGACCTGATCTGTCACCACTGAGCCCTGAAGGTGGTCTTCCCCTGGGATCCTGCCTTGTGCACCCTGAGACAGCCAGCCACGTAGCTGGGCAGTAGTTTTTTCTTGCAGGGGGTGGTTCTGGGCATGCTCACTCGGGCTCACTTGGTCCTGCAGACAATCACGACATCATCTCCCTGAAGCTGTTCCAGCTGATGGTGGAGCACACCCCTGACGAGGAGAACATTGACTGGACCAAGATCGAGCCCAGTGTCAGTTTCCTCAAGTCTCCCAAAGGTATGTGCAGCTGGGGTGGAACGGTGGTGGCCAAGGCGGGCCAAGGCCAGGTGCTCCACCATGACGCTGCTTCGGCTGTCTTCACATTCTTGACTCAGCCCTTCCCGAGCTTCTGGCCAGGCCAGCACTGGTGAAGTTATTAATAAACAAAATGCAGCAAAAAGAAGTCCTCAAGAGTCTGTCCACAGGCTATCTGCTGTACGCCTTCTGTTGGGACCAGCTGTGAATCTCCTGTCTGGGTCCCTGGTGGCACTTTCCCTGAACTGGGAGCAGTGACACCAGCCTGCTGAGCCTCTGGTACCGAGTGCATCACCCCATGGGATGACTTCCATGGGGGCTTCACCTTTTTGGGAGGAGGAGAGGGCATAGCTGCAGGTGTCAGCTAGAGGAGAGGCAGGGTTTGATCCTGGGCTCTCCCCCGGCCCTGACGCTCAGGTGGAGGAATGAGGCTCCTGTGTGCAGGGTCGGGGGCACGCAGACTCCATGGGGTCGGGGTGAGTGTGGGGATACATGAGCTGTGTGTGGTAGGGGGTGCGTGGGCTCCGTAGGGCAGGATCTAGGACAGCAGAGACCTGTGTTCTGCTGTGCCATTTGAGCTGCCCTTTCTCTTCTCCTTCAGACAATGTGGACGACCCCACAGGGAACTTCCGGGGCGGGCCTCTGACGGGCTGGAAGGTGTTCCTGCTGCTGCTGTGCGCCCTCCTGGGCATCATTGTCTGCGCGGTGGTGGGGGCCGTGGTGTTTCAGAAGCGGCAAGAGCGGAACAAGCGTTTCTACTAAGCAAGCTTGTAGGACGCTTGGCTGGGGATGGCCTGGCCTTGGGCTTCAGGCACCATTGTGAACTTTTTTTACTTGGATTGTAAAAGAAAAACAAGACAACCTTATTTCTTAACTGTTTCAAAGAAATAATTAAAGTATTTTCTTACATTTTGCTCCTTGCCCAGCCAGGATAGGTGGCAGGGCTGGGAGTGAGGATTTGCCATCCTTACAGCTGGCAGCGGAGGATGAGGGTCCTCTCCCCACTGCTGGGGTCTCAGGAACAGAGGGCTGCGTCTGTGCGGGTCTGGGCAGGCCCCACAGGACTTTAAGGGGCCTCCCAGAGACAGGCCCCGATGCTGCGTGTGGTGTGGCATGTGCAGTGGCAGCAGAGGTCCGAGTAGAGGAACCTGGGCTTTTCTTTTTATCCCCTGAGCTGCATCTGAAGTCGGCTGTGGAGCAAGGGCTGGAGGAATGCTCAGTGGGGCCGAGTGTGACCGTTTGCTAAATAAAGTGTATTAATGGCCTCAGTGTCACTGACTGCCCCCAGGGCTCACCTTTCATTTCCTTCTGCTGCACCCAGTTATCCATTACTACACACAGAGCACTAGACCTTGGCCTTGGGGTCATGGCAGGGTGTGGAGGGAAGTGATGGGGAACTCTGGGGTGCTGGCTGAGGGGCCTCTAGGACATGGTGGGATGGTGAGAGGGCAGACTAGACAGGATGCTTGAGTTAGCTTGGGGGACAAAGATTGCACGAGGTGGGAGGAAGACAACAGCTGACAGGGCTCTGTCCCCAGCATCCTGCCATCATCAGCCCAGAGTGACCCTGGCTCGGGTCCATCTCCCTGGGCACCTCACTGAGTGGACAGTCACTCCTCTTCAAAGCCGCTGCCTCATTGACTGCTGAGTAACACAGCAGGTGAGTGCCCGTCCTAACAGAAGTACCACCCCTTCTCTTCCTTTTGCAGCCAGCCTTTTTTGTAATTAATATGGTTGTAAAGTCTCAGAAGTACACAAAGTGAAGTGTGAACATTTATATTTCTCCTTAACGCCATCTCACTAGCCTCCTGTCTCTTGTATTCTTTTAGTAGTGGTTTCTTTACAAAGTTCTTGTGTATTGTTTTTCACACTGGATCGTTCCCATTTCTTTACCCCTACCCAACCCATCAAATTCTGCGACCCTATAATTAACCACCTCCCCTGCCCATCGTCACCCCTCTGCTCCACTCCCCTCCTGGGTCCCTCATACTCATTCTACAGTAATGATCTTACACAATATTTGTCCTTAGGGGACTGAGTTAGTTCACTTAGCATAATGCTCTCCAATCCCTCCCAAGTTAGGTAGTGATTTTCAAAATCATTGCTCCTGCATGCTGTGTAGTATTCTGTCATGTGAATGAACCATATTTCTCAATCCATTCGATTTGTTGGACATTTAGGCTGTTTCCATATTCTTGTGATGGTGAATATCTCTGCTGTGAACATTGATATTTACAGGTCTCCGTTTGTGCCTCAGTTCTTATTTTCTCGGGATATATTCCAAGCAGTGGAATAGCTGGATCACATGGAATTCCTATGTTCAGCTTTTTGAGGAAGCACCAAACTGCCTTTCAGAGAGGTTGTACCTGTCTCTTGTATTCTTGATGTCTTCTGTGTACACACAGCTTTCAAATCAGGTTTGATTTAAAAAGATGGTGCCTATCAGTCATAATGAGGTTTAAGTTGGTATTCATTCAGGTGTGTGAGCTTTAACAGCAAACATGGTTCTCACTGAAATAGTTGATTGGCCGTTTTCTCATAGTTGCTGCGTGGAGAAAACTGCTAACATTGCTTACTCGTTCCCTGGCACCGTTCTGGGAGCTGCAGTGTATAAATCCAGTGGTTACCCGAGTGGATGCTGGATATGTCCAAGGCTCCTGCCTGCAGACCTTTCAGGGCTGCTGCAGCTCCTCAGGCACCACGTACTACCTTTAGTTTTTGGCTTTCACTAGGTCTTCCTCAGATTCCTCACTTAGGCAGATTGGCCTCTGGAACCTGTGGATCCCAGCCTTGGCATCACTTGGCCCCTGCCTCATTCTCGGTTCTAGGGCGTCAGGTGGGGGAGGCTGGGCAGGGCATTTTTAAGAGTCGGGTGGTTCTGATGGGCAACCTGGTGGGACCCAGAGGCGATGGGCTGTGGGCAGGAGTGGGAGCGCCACCCATGTTTGTCTGTCCTTGGTGGGCAAGGCCTTTTTTGCACCCAGAGGTGAATCGCTTCAAAGTTCACATTATAGGTACTTTTTTGGGAGAGGGGAGGGCTGTGTTCTATGTCTGCATTTACACAGGATTAAAACGTAGTAACTCATTTTTGTCACATGCATTTTAAAATGCAGTTATTTCATCATCTGAAAGTTAAATATGATTGTAATCCATGTATCTGCTTTGCAACATAATAAAGCATCACACACATAGATCCTTTCAGTATTCTCCATAAACCTTTTGTGCATTTGCTAAATACTTCACCACAAAAGTTTGCATCCATAAGTAGTTGTGTTCTTTACATGTTAAAAAACAACTCAAGATGAGTAATTTGTTTTCTATTGTGTGAATGTGCCTCCGTTTACACACAGCTGATGGGAGCTGAGGTTCTTTTGGTCTTTTGCTCTTGATACAGGGCAGCCTCGAGCATTCCTGAGAGCGTGGCTTCACGCACATGTTATGGAATGGCTCCGTTGTCACTTGGCCTAGTCGTAAGACACTGTGCTGCAATTCCAAAGGCACATGGTTTGAATCCACTAGCTGCCCCGTGGGAGAAGGATGAGCAATCTCCTGTGCAATTAACTGCCACTAGGAACCCCACAGGAGGGTCAGCTGTGGGTCGGTTCTGAAGCTTAGAAGTGAGGATGGCGAGACACTCTCCTCTGCTCTGAACACAGTATCAGGAGGGGCTGGTCCTGGAGAACATCGTGGTTGGTGAAGTGAAGGAGGGTCAGTGAAAAAGCAGACTCGACAAGGTAGATTGATACAGCTGCTGGAACCACAGGTTTGAGCACAGCAGAGATCCTGAGGCTCCAGCCGAGGTTATGAATGGGAGCTGGCCCAACAGCACCCGAACAACTTTAGAGTTTGACCAGTTCTACTCAGTGAGTGAGATGCTCTGTTGCTGCTAAATGGGATGTTGTCAGACTTTAATTTTTTGACAACTTGATGGAAAGTTTAATTTGATTTTACCTACTTTTTGGATTTAGGAAAAAAATTTTCCCCTGAAATCTTTATCTACTTGCTTTTAAGATCTAGCATTGATTTTCCTTGGAATGAATTTCTGCATCGGGTGTGACATTGGCATTGAGCACCCCATTGTGACCCCCTCTTAGCCTTGGGCTGGGATCTGAAGGGTGAAGCCTCCACCGGCAAGGCCACACTCTTTGTACAAGCAGCACCCCCTCTTGCTCCTGCTTTCTTGCTTTCTTCCTGCTCTTTGGTGGCTGAGGGGCTGTGCATGTGACAGCTGAGACCCAGGGACGTCTG